ATTAAAATAATTAATAAAATATTTCTTAAATTAAATATCTATTAAATATTTATTTTCTCTCCCTTCTTATCTCTTATTAATTTTTAATTATTTATCTTACTTTTTCATTTTTGTAAAAATTAAAATAATTAATAAAATTATATTTTTTTTTACTTTTTTAATCATGTGCCTAATAAACTTCTATTTTTTATCACTTTTAATTCTCATAATATTAAAATTCTTAATTATTTTTTTAATTTTATAATATATTTTTAATAATTTTGAACTAATGATAATTTTTTTTTAATTTCAATAAAAAAGACCTCATTTAAATATTTAAACGCTTTAAGCCTTTAAACATATTGAGTCTCTCTTGCCACGAAAGCTCTTACTTTAGGTCCTATATTTTTATATGCTTCATAATTTTATATAATATAATTAATTATATTAAAAATATATAAACATTAAAGTAATTAATAAAATATTTCTTAATTTAAGTATCTATTAAATATTTATTTTTTCTCACTTTCTATTTCTTATTAATTCTTAATTATTTATCTCACTTTTCCAATTATGTAAAAGTTAAAATAATTAATAAAATGATATATTCTCTCACTTTTTCAATTATATGTCTAATAAATTTCTATTTTTTATCAATCTTAATTCCCATAATGTTAATAATTCTCGATTATTTTTTTATTTTTAATGAATGTAATATATTTTTAATGATATTTAATTAATGGTAATTTTTTTAATTTAAATAAAAAAAACCTCATTTAAATATTTAATCACTTTAGGCTTTTAAAAGTATTGAACCGCCCTTGCTAATTCTCATTTTACACATGCATTATATAATTCAAAAATAGTTCATGCTAAGGAATATAAATTTACAGATGCAGTTTTGACATAATTCAAAAACAGTTCATGTTGACAAATATAACTTTGAAAGAGAGTATTAGAGAGAAGTAGTAGAAATGTAAGAAGATTTTTTATTTCATTTCTTGTCTTAGTATTTCAACCATCAATTATAATGCATTTATTTATAAACACATATAGATGGAGGGGAAATGAATTTACATAAATAAAGGGGATGAACTTAGTAAATAGAAATGTACATATATTGAATGAAATTGGGAAGATAGGGATATACCGACATAAATATGTACATTGGATATGAGAGATACATTAGATATTATGAAATACAATGAATTTTCACATATATTTATAACAGTTTACAATTTAATCAATTTTGATTGTATGGTTTTTTTTTAGATTTCTTTTTAATTTTGAAAAAGAATTTGAATTTAACTTTTTGAAATCATATGTATCAATTATTAAATTAAATGTTTAGATACAGATTTTTATAAAAAATATAAAAAAATTAAAAATTACTTGCAACAGTGATAAAATGTTGGTTTTGTTTTGTTATATATTTTTCTAATGACATAAATTTTTTAATATTAAGGATAAAAAATATTTAAAATTAAAA